GTGTTAATTGCTTCTGGCCATAGTTTTCACCACTGCTAGAACAGGCTGTTTTGCTGCCCCGCCAGGCCCAGGAGGTGCATTAAGGTCACTGCTATGTTGTTGAGTGCCCCCACCTCCTATTTCTTGCCTATAATCTTGCTTGCCTTCAGGCACTAACCCCATCTCATTCCAGCAGAAAGAAACTATCAGATGCTGTAAGTGCCTTGTTGGTCCACGAGGAACAGGGATCTCATCTGCATTCAGGCAGGAGGGCCAGGTCCCCACCCACGGCCCCAGAGGGGATACATGCAGATACACCCCTTCACAGCGTTTTTGCCTTTTCCTGTGTGAGCCCCTCTGAAGCTCCGGCTGACCCGGGATTTGTGTGCAATTCCCCCATCAGCACTAATGAGGATTATCCATGCTGGGCTCAGCTCTGGTGAGCTGAGGCAGGAGTTGCATAAGGTCTTAGCTCCCCAGCAAAACAGTGCTTTCTCCCTGCTCTCAGCGCAGCAGCTCCAGCCCCAGGAGAGCAGCCCATCTACTGCTTGCTGCCATACCAGCCAGGCAAGACCAGTCATTTCCAGTAACTTTATTGCAATGGGCCATCAGATGCTGCTTTGTGACTACAGAGAAGGGCTGCCCAGCAGAGGCCACCAGCCCTGTGAAGCCTTCCTCCAACAGGTGCACGCCAAATCTTCAGGTTTGCCTCACCAGCAAGCTGGCTTAAAGACAGACCGTCATTGGAGCTGGATGAGAAGACTCCACAGGGAGCAGGAGAGCCAGGGCTGGGTAGAAGGAACAGCACAGTGGTGAGATGAGCAGGTCTACAGGTAGGCAGGCAGGTCCTTCTCGATCACCTGTGGGGAGGAAGGAAGTGTCACACTGCAAGCATGTCACTGCCCCAAGAACGTGCGAGAACCCTCCTACAACACTGTCCCTGAAGGGCACCATCCAGAGCAGGCTGCCCTCGGTAACAGTGATGCCGGACCCACGTCCCTCCCCCACGCTGGCAACCCGCTCTCCCCGCCACCATGGCCATCCCCTTTGCGTACAGAGCACGGGCGCCTCTGCTTCCCCCAGCCAAGGCAGGGAGAAAACGCAGCACTGCAGTGGAGCCTCCTCTGGAGCAACACTCCCCCCGCAGGCAGCCCGAGCACTGCTGCGTTCAGTCATGGATGTGATCTGCAGAGAGCAGCCGGCACCATCACGCTTCCCCCCTTCGTAGCTCGGTGCCCTAGCTGGAACTGATGACCAAGTAGAACCGCAACGCGAACCGCCCTGGCTGGAGACTTACGTAGGGATCCTCCATGGGACTGTATCTCTTCACTACTTGGCCCTCGCGGTTTATGAGGAACTGTGGAAGTGAAGAAGCACTCAAGTGAGTCTGGCAGCAGCTGTAACACTGGGGCTCTGCAGCCCAGGGCTCTGCTTACAGCAGGGGTAGGCTGGGGGCAGATCCTGCCTATGGAGAGGAGCTAGAGGCTCTGGCAGCCCTGCTCGCAGCTCTGCTCTTTACTGCCTCACTAGGGCAGGGCTCGAGATCACACACGCTAGAGGCTCATAAGGGTCCCTAAGCACAGGGACCAGGATAGTGCAGCTGGCCCTCGGGACACACCTACCCCAACAGCTGGGGTAACTGCACAGAGCAGAGCCTACATGCAAGGTTCCCCTCTCCCTGCAATGCTTCAAGCGTTCCCCACCACGCACCAAAGGGTGAGTGTTTGACCTTAGCACAGCCAGAGCCCAGGAGAAGACAGACATATCCTACCTTAGTGAAGTTCCATTTTATTGCACTAGAAGAAAAAAGACAGAAGTGAGACTGTGATGGAAGAAGCTTCCTCTTGCTGCAGCCAGGCCACCTGTTTCTATCAGCCTTGGCCTCACTGCCCAGCACGGAGGGAGCAGCCCGGAGCCCACCCCTGCCTCCCTGGAGCTGGGCAGGCTGCAGGGCCGCCTGGCAGGGTTTGCTGAAGTCTCCTCTCAGCCCCATGGGCTGTTCCAGCAGTGCCAGGCAGGTTGGGGGGTTTCTACAACACCCTCTTCCCCACTCACTTGCCCAGGGTGCCTCTTCCCGCAGGCTGCGCCTTCATCCACGTCCAGAGCGGAAGGGCATTCTCCCCATTGACATCGATCTTACTGAACATGTCAAACTTCACTCCGTACTTTTCAGCGAATGCCTTAATCTGAGCATTGTCCCCTGGTTCCTGAGGAAGGCAAAAGACAGGGCACTCTAACATAAGCCTCTTCCCCTTTCAGCACAGAAACTCCATGGCTCTGCTGGCATGCGGATGTTGTATGGGCTCCCTCTCGTGTACTGGGGAGGCAAGCAGACCCCAGCTAGCCAAGCGGATCCTCAAGACCAAGAGCTGCCCTTGTGTACGGCTCCAGGGCAGCCTTCCTGCTGCTCCCACATACCTGTTTTCCAAACTGGTTGCAGGGAAAGGCCAGGATGCGTAAACCTCTCTCAGCGTATCTGGCGTACAAGTCAACGAACTGAGTGTAGTTTACATCCGTTTTGCCTCATTTTGAAGCAACATTGGTGATGATGCAGACAAAGCCCCTGGAAAGAAAAAGAATCAGAAGGAATTCCCGTAACAGGGCTAGGCAAGCCCCTCACGTATGCTCTCTGTGAAGGGTGCAGCAAGAAGGGAAGGCAGCACAAAAAACAAGCTGCTTTCTCTGTAGCCTTTCTCATGTTATGCAAGCTCCCTTTGTGGCTTAGTCACTGCTGCCTGGTGCAGCTACTAAGGACCTTTGAACAGCACTCCCCCTCGAGGGCTCAAGGGCACCACCTCCCCCCTCCCATGCTTGTGTACTGCGTTATTAAGGACAAGCCGATTCCAGGCCGTTCACTCCTACCTGTATTTCTCCAGAGAGACAGTGTTGCCGTCTATGTCTTGGGCATGGAAGTCATAGATTGATTTGGCAGTGCGCCAGTCATCTACTTGGGCACACTGCAAGAGAGCCGAGAGCTGCTGTCAGCTTCCCTCCCCAGCAATCCCAGCAGCACGTCCTCTCCAGCTTTAGGTGAGCTCAGCTCCAACAGGAGACCAGCAGTGAGCCATGTCACAGCAATAGGTTGTGCCTGTGCCCCCATGCTGATGGCTCGCTGTCTCTGTCCCTCCCATCCATAGCAGCTCCCCTCTCTACTCGTTGCTCATGTCAGGACTCGTGAAGCAGAAGCTGAGCGTACCCAGGAAGGCAAGTGTCACACACTCTGGTGGCTCCCTGCTGTCAGGTGCCCCAAATGAGCCACGTGCTCCATGTCAGCTGGTCCACCCACAGGGTCATGATAATCCAGCTAAGTTACAAGTTTCCCAAACTACAGTTTCTTAGGTCTTCTTTTCTCCTACGCAGCACAATGTAAAACTTGCAGTAAAACTTGCACGTTATTGATGTTGCTCCCTGCTAGGTTTAACAACCCCATGATTCATCCTGGGTGCTTCAACTGCTGGAGGAGCACCCCAGGCAGGGCTTCGGTTTCCAGAGCCTCCCCCCACCACACCTCTCCCAGCATTTCCTCACCCTGTGCAGTGACGGCTGGACAAGCACAAAATTAGAAGCTTAAGCACAGATCCTTGCTGTACGTGCCCCAGGCCCTCATGGAGTCCCAGGCAGGGGCCATCCTGGAGGCCTCCCCCCGTCGGAGGAGCGGGTCTCCCGCCCGGCCCGGCCAGGCCGCGAGCACCGTCCCCAGTCACCACCAGTTTGTGCCCTGGCCGGACGGGGGGAGCAGGCCAGGCCCTGGCAGCGCCTGAGCACGGCTGG